AGGGGGGCAGGGGTGTCTACACCTGACTTCCGTTCCACTTGGTGAACAGAAACTTGTCTCCGCCTGTCGCTCCGACTTCACCTTTCCAAGTTTCGCGTCACTGCTGGCCCATGGGCCAGTGGGCGGGTGACCCTGCGCGGCACCAGCCCCGTCCGAGGGGGGGGCCGAGGGCACGTCGAACCTCCCTGGAGGCTGACCCCGGAGGTGTCGCCGCGGTGCAGCTGGCTGGGTCACCTGCCCCAGGATCGCAGCCCATGCCACCTGCTCACGCGTGCTGGAGACAAGCGAGGGGAAGTGACCGAGTGGAGCAGTGTTTCCTGGAAACTAGGACAGTATCACTACCAGGAAATTGACACTGACATAAAGCTTAGCCATGTTCTAATTCTGTCAGGTTTCTCTGCATTCGTGTGTGTGTTTGACAGAACTGCACAGAACTAAACACACACACACACACACACACACACACACACACACACACACACACACGGGGGGGGGAGGGGAAGAGGGAGAGGGAGAGGGAGAGGGAGATTGAGAGAGAGGTGAGGTCTGTGATCACCACCAAGACTGAAGCTCCCCTCGCAGGGTTTCTCCAGCTACTCTTTTATAGCCACAGCCACCTTCCTCTCTCCCCCTGTGCCTAAGCCCTGGCAACCACTGATCTTTTTCTTCATCCCTATAATTTTGCCATGTAAAGAATGTTATATAAATGTAACCATACAGTTTGTAACCTTTAGAGGTGGGCTTTTTCACTCACTATAATTCCCTTGAGGTTCGTTCAAGTAGCTGTGTGTATCAGTAGTTTGTTCCTTTTTATGAGTAGCACTGATAGTTGTTTTTTAAATATATGAATCTGTGCCATCCATACCCATATCCCACTGCTTTTATATTCGTTTCCTAGGACTGCCATAACAAAGTACCAAAACCGAGGTGGCTTCACCAAACAATTAATAGAATTAACACAAGAATTCGGTAAAGAAGCAGGATACAAAATTAATATATAGAAATTCATCATGTTCCAGTACACTAATAATAAACAATCAGAAGGAGACATGAAAACAATCCCATTTACAATTTCATCAAAAAGAAGAAAATATCTAGGAATCAGCTTAACCGAGGAGGTGAAAGACCTCTGTTCAGAAAACTATAAGACATTGAAGAAAAAAATGTAGAGGACGCAAATAAATGGAATGACATACTGTGTCCATGATAAGGATTAATATTGTTAAAATGACCATACCACCCAAAGCAGTTTATAGATTCAGGGCAATTCCTATCAAAATACCAATGCAATGTCATTCTTCTCAAAACTAGAACAAATAATCCTAAAATTTATATGGAATCACAAGAGATCCAAAATAGCCAAAGCAATCTTGAAAAAGAACAAAGTTGGAGGTATTGCTCTCCCTGATCTTAAACTGTATTACAAAGCTATAGTGATCAAAATAGTGTGGTACCAGCACAAAAACACACATAGATCAATGGAACAGAATAGCGATCCTAGAAAAAACCCCTCTCACATGGTCAATCAATCTATGACAGAGGTCAACGAATCTAAACACTGAAGTAATGACAGTCTTTTTAACAAGTGGTGTTGGAAAAACTGGACAGATACATGAAACAAAACAATGCAAAACAAAACTGGATCGCTCTCTTACAGCATATACAAAAATAAACTCAAAATGGGTTAACAACTGAAATGTAAGGCCTAAAACCATAAAACTCATAGAAGAAAACATAGGAAGTAAACTATCTGACATTAGTTTGAGTAATATCTTTTTGGACTCTGTTTCATTTATTTCTGCTCTGATCTTTATTCTTTCCTTCTGTTCACTTTGGGTTTTGTTTATTGTTCTTTTTTCAGTTCCTTGAAGTATAAAGTTAGCTTGTTTATTTGAGATTTTTCTTGTTTCTTGAGATAGGCCTGTAATGCTATGAATTTCCCTCTTAGGAAACTTGTGTCCCATAGATTTTGGGTTGTTGTGTTCTCATTTTCATTTGTTTCACAGTATTTTTTTTTTAATTTTTAATTTTTCACAGTATTTTTAAAATTTCTTCCTTGATATCATTGTTAACCCGTTCATTGTTTATTAACATGTTGTTATTTAGCCTCCATGTCTTTGTGTGTTTTTCTTTCTGTTTCTTGTGATTGATTTCTAGTTTTATGCCATTATGGTCAGAGAAGATGCTTGGTATGATATCAATCTTCTTAAATTTATTTAGACTCGTTTTGTGTCCTAATACATAGTCTCTCCTGGAAAATGTTCCATGTGCATTTGAAAAGAATGTATATTCTGCGCTTTGGAGTGAAATGCTCTGAAGATATCAATTAAATTCGTCTGATCTAGTGAGTCATTTAAGGCCATCATTTCCTTGTTGATTTTTTGTCTGGGAGATTTATTCATTGATGTCAATGGGGTGTTAAAATCCCCTACTATGACTGTATTACTGTCAGTCTCTCCCTTTATGTCCATCAAGATTGGCTTTACATATTTAGGTGCTCCTATGTTGGGTGCATAAATGTTTACAAGAGTTATATTCTCTTGTTGGATTGCTCCCTTTATTGTTATGTAGTGTCCGTTGTCTCTTATTATAGCCTTTGTTTCAAAGTCTATTTTGTCAGATATAATTAATATTACTACCCCCAAAAAATTGCTACCCCATCATTTTTCCCCCTTTCTGTTTGCATGAAATATCTTTTTTCATCCTTTATTTTTAGTCTGTGCTTGTCTTTCGTTCTGAGGTGGGTCTCTTGTAGACAGCATATATATGGGTCTTGTTTTCTTATCCACTCAGCTAACCTATGTCTTTTGATTGGAGCATTTAAGCTATTTGCATTTAAAGTGATTATTGACAGGTACATATTTATTGCCATCTTATTCTTTTGACTATGTTCCTCTCTCCTCCTCCTCCTCCTCCTCCTCCTTTTTCTTCTTCTTGTATAACTTTTCTTGTAATACTGGTTTAGTGCTAACAAACTCCTTTAGCTTTTTCTAGTCTGGGAAACTCCTTATTTCTCCTTCAGTTTTAAATGATAGCCTTGCTGGGTAAAGTAGTCTTGATTATAGATCCTTGCTTTTCATCACTTTGAATACTTCATGCCAGTCCTTTCTGGCCTGAAATGTTTTTGTTGAGAAATCAGCTGACAGTTTTATGGAAGCTGCCTTGTAGGTAAGTAGCTGTCTTTTTCTTGTGGCTTTTAAGATTCTTTCTTTGTCTTTAACCTTTGGCATTTTAATTATGATGTGTCTTGGTGTGGGCCTCTCAGTGCTTCCTGGACTTGTGTGTCTTTTTCCTTCACCAGGTTAGGGAAGTTTTCCATCATTATTTCTTCAAACAGGTCCTTGATCCCTTGCTCTCTTCCCCTGGTACCCCTATGATGTGGATGTTGTTGCACTTCATGTTGTCCCAAAGGCCCCTCAAATGATCCTCATTCTTTTTCATGCCTTTTTTTTTTTTTTTTTTCTTTCTGCTCTGATGGGGTATTTTTTCCTACCTGGTCTTCCAAATCACTGATTCAGTCCTCCGCGTCATCCAACCTACTGTTTATCCCTTCCGGTGAATCTTTTTTTCTTCCAGTGTATTCTTGATGTCAGATGTTGTATTCTTCATTTTGGATAGGTCCTTTTTCCTACGTCCCTTTTCATGCTATTGTAGTTCTCACTAAGTTTCTTGGCCATCCTTATAACCATTACTTTGAAATTTACATTGCTTGCCTCCATTTTATTTAGGTCTTTTTCTGGAGAGTTCTCCTGTTCTTTCATTTGGGACCTGTTTCTTTATTTCTCCATTTTGACTGCCTCTTTGTGTTTGTTTTTGCATGTTAGATAAATCTGTTATGACTTTCAGTTTTCATGGGGTGGCCTTATGTAGTAGGTGTCCTGTGGGAACCTAATGGCACAGTCTCCTTGATCCCCTAAGCTGGGTGCTCTAGGAATGTCCCTTGTGTGGCTTATGTGGGCCCTCCAGTTGTAATTGAGTCTTGATTGCTATTGGCCCTATGTGTGCCTGGCATTGACCCTCAGGCTGGCTGGCTGTGAGGCTCAACCCCAACCACAGTGTGCAAGCTGCTATACAGGTGCTGACCACATGAAGCAGAATTCACCTTTGGAGGGCTTGGTTCCTGCCCTGATCTCCCTTTGGATATACTGTTTGTGAAGTTTATTGGATTCTGCTTTGATGTTGTCTGAAGCTGGTCACT